ATATATATCTTTTTGGGCCAAATAATTCATAGCAAGAGCTATCTGAACCTTAGGAGATTTCCTCATACAATAAAGATGTTGAATTGCATTGCTTCTAGGACTCCTTTTATATTATGAGTGAGAAAAACACTTTTTCACCATAGCTGTGAAATATCCCATTTGCAGCCAAGACTCTCCCTCATGAAGGACTAGGGGTGGAAAGAAAGAAGCCTGTGGGGATGGGCGTTACCTGAGCGACACCGGGAACCAGAGCAGCTAGTGCTGCCAGGGCTCTGCCCTCCAACCCCACGTTCAACCAGCCTTTCCTTGGAATGCTGCTCGTACAATAAAGCTAAGCGAGCAAAGGGTGTGAGCCTGTGCACTTCTGTACAGCCCCTTCCTGCAGGACTGGCACATGACAGAGCTCTGTCCAGTGCTGCAGCTCAGCAGATGCCACGGAACATGGTAGGCTGCTCAGAGCCCTGTGGACACTCTGAGCTAACTCCAATGATTTCCTTGTCCGCCCAGCACCAGACCTTCTGGGGCTATATGGTTGCCCTCCAGCCCCTGGGCCTTCTAGCCACCCTACAGTCATGAAACTCATTTTCTTCCATCATTTCAGGTTAATACTATACTTGTCTGTTAATATCTCAATAAAATGTATCTCCCCCAAGTCATCTTGTTATTTTCTTTGATATCTCACTGCCCCAGTGCATGTAGGCAGTGGACAAGATTCCTTCCCATTGTAACTCTGCTGAGAGAGTGTAGACTCTCAGTAGATCTCAGGTCCATAGCCCTGAACCAGCGCGTGGTTTCCGGTATTAGAGGGGATATGCTCTGAGGGAGGAAGTTGGAAGGTCTACCCATCAGACACTGCTTCTGGTGTTCACTGCTATTGTTTCCACATCACTAAGTCCACAGTTGATGGTGACTCTCTCTGCACGAGGTCCATCCACAAAGCCAGCACCCTCGGTCAGCTCGTTTCCACTATTCCTGAGAAAGGATGAGAAAAACTAAGTGACATAAGAACAGCAGATTCCTGAGTATCCAAATATTCTATTATTAGGAATGGTTTTTAAATGGCTTTAATCAAATGCACTAAGACTAGTGACAGAGTAATGTATTGTTATTGCAGAATTGTTTGGCCCTTGGATTTTAATTCTTATGAAAGAGAGTTTCCAAGTATAACAGATGTAGCGAAGCTAAGAACTTCGCATAAGCATATCATCTCGAGTTACCCACATGACCTCTGTATAAGAGAGATGGAGCAGTCAATGATGAAGAGAAACTCATATAATGAAGAAACCAGAGACTGAAATTTTACACTTTCAGAATGGAGCAAAAAGCCTCATGGTTCTTGATGTTATTTCAGGCCATATCATTTTAATGTTTGTGATTTTTATATATATTCTAAAATATATGACTTCAAAAAAGAAGCCAAAAGATTTAAGTAATCTCTGGAAAGCACTGCCACAATTGCCCTCCACCTGGTCACAGCTGGCAGCAGAACTGAGTCCTTGCCTCTTTCCAGACCTGCCTCCCCTCACAGATCTGGGAAGCACCAGCCCATCCTGGACTATAGGGCATGCGTGAGTCACACATGGACAGAATACCCATGGGCAGCAGTGGTCCACAGCGGGCCCTCCCTCACCGTCTCTTTGCACATCTGCCATGTCCTTACCAGGCAGCCAGAGGAGCAGCATCCCCAGGACCTGAACAGCACACCCCTTTTTGAGAGTTTGAACTGTGGAGTCCTGCTAAGTAGAAGCAAGGTCACAGTGAGCTTTCATCTCAGACCTACAAGGGAAGGTTCTCCCAGGGGACACTATGCAAATTCTTGGTGGGTGCAGCTGTGTGACAAAGCCAGTACACATCATCCTGTGGGCAAAGTCATATAAAAGTCTCTTTAGTTTTTTAAAGAAAATCATACATATACAACATATGCTGCCTAGCTGGGGCAGGGGAGGGGAACAAAGATTCCTCCATCATGTTAGTCCCAGTTTTTCCATTCTCTGGGCCTTTCGCCCACATACTTTACACTTTCTTTTACTAGGCTGCTTCCTTAACCATTTGATGACTATTTCCTACTTTGCATCTTTTAAATTGTCTAAGTTTGTCAGTTTTTCACAGCATGAAACACACACAGAATAAAAAATAGAAACCTGAATTATGCCACCAGTGGTTTTACATGCATCCACCACGAAGATGAAACTACAGGGTTTAATTTCTGATGCCTCTTTAGGCAATAAACTGACAAGGCACCTGTTATTCTGACATCCATTTAAGCAGTTTAGACTTTCTTGGTCTTAAACGTGATCTAAAATGAAGTAACATTTTGTTTGTTTGTACACATCTTCTATCTTATTTTGGAAAACTTTTCCTGCCTGTAAATTCCAGGAATTTCACTTGTCCCTTCCTGACTCCGGAAGACGTCTTTCTAAGCTCACCCGGGGCATGTAGGGCATGTTGGCAATCAATGGCTTCCCCAAGTCATGCCCAACTTGCATTTGTTTTTGAGGATTGCTTTCCCTGGACATAGAAAT